AAAAAAAAAAAAAAGTTCTATACATTTTGAAGATTACAAGTTCCATTCTCTTTTCATACAGGTAATTTCTTAAAGAGGAAATGAAGATAGCTAGATAGATATGGAAATATAAGGACACATACATATAATAAAGATTATAGAGTTGGTATAAAGAACGTCTGATTTACAGAAATTATTCACAGGTCTGGGGCTTTTAGGTTAAATTCCTGTAGCATTCTTAAAGGAAAGGCAAAACATTCCCTCTCTGGTCACAACGCAGTAATAACTTATCAATAATAATTGTTTTATTATTTGACTTTTGCTTGGCACTTGGGTGATAAACATAGTTTTTTCTCATTCCACTAATATTATCAAGGCTGCTTTATATGTTTATAGTCCTCAGCTAAGTTTTCATTATAATCCTGAACTAAATGCTGTGGTTGGTGCAGACAGATACTGTCTTTGGCCCCTGGAAAGTCAGTGTCTACAAGGGGAGAAAATATATAAATACAACATCCTCTGATGGCACCATAAGGCAGTAGGATATATGGCTAAGAGCTAAATATGCTGGGAGCAGTGTGGTCTAGTGCTAACTTTGCCACTAACTAGATACGTGACCTTGAGCAGGGCCCTCTCTTACGCCCCATGGGGCCCCATTTCCTTATATTTAAAATGAGAGAGCTGAGCTATTATCTCAAAGGGCCTAGTTAGCTAGGGAGCCAAGGCGTAGAAGAGGAAATGTTTACTAACAGCCATCCTAGCGAGGATGGAGAGCACTCCAGTTGTCTACCAATAGCTATTTGATCATCCCCTGCCCTCGGGGTTGCATTTGTCTGGGATTAACTGCACTATCAGGAAGGAAGTGTCCTAAATGGATCAACAGAACGGCTTTCATCTTGTCAAAGTGAGTAGCTTAGGTAATCTCAGGTTTAAGATCCCCAACCTCTAGCATGACCTTAGCCACTAGGATTGGTTTAGGATGCAGCCAATTGGAACGAAGTGCAGGATTTTTGCTGGGAATTCTCGGATGCAGAGCTTCTTCTTCGGTTGGGCAGTGGGAAAGCCTGGAAAGGCTGTAGTCACTCAGAAGAGAGATTGAGTCGATGCCAATGGAGAGCATCACCAAGAGGCTGATAGGAAAACAGTCAGAGTCTTCTAGAGGCCCAGAAAGAATTCACAAAGCTACCCCTGGAAGGGTATGATCTGAATAGGAAAAAAAGAAGGGAGACTCTTGGTATTGGGACAGATGGCAGGAATCTGGAGGGAATGTGCTGTGTACTTCAATGATGGCACCCTGCTTGGTTGAAGCAGAGAACGTGTATTCATTCAATATTAAACATCTGCGTTATAATACTCTTGACGCTGCCTGTGGTTGAGTTTGGCTGCGCAGCCATAGGGTTCAGGATGGAGGCATGGTGTGACCCAGTTCTCAAAGAGCTTATATCCAAGCAGAGGGACTAAAAGTCAACCACCAACTACAGTAGAGGAGGGATGACCCCTCATTCAGCTGCAAGGTCTGCCAAGGGCAAGAAGAGTTTCGAGAAGGGGGTTGTTTTTTGAATTCCTGCCTGGGAGGAATTATGATCCACATAGTATAGATAAGAGAACTATCCTTTGTGAGCAAAAATATCACATACCAAGTTAGACCATCATTACTGATAAGCCATAAAAGTACGTTCTGCCTTTCTTTTACACATTCCTTTAAGGATCACCTAAGATCACAAAAGCAACTAGCAGGTGGTAGAGTCAACAATTGACTCCAGGTCTTTCTGGCTTCAAAACCTCGGTGTAGACTCTTACTTCTCAAAATGTAGTCTGTGGGCCAAGAACATCAGCATCATCTAGGAGCAGGGGTGGCTATATAATTTGTATGGCCCAGTACAAAATAAAACTCTGGGTGCCTTATTCAAAATGAGGAAAAAAGGACCACTGAAGGTACCAAAAGATGAAGTTTTTCCTTGTCTTCCCCAGCCGCTCAACTTACGATGTTTTATATTTGCTGTTTAATGTCATTCTAAGAAAAGAAGGCTTCAGATTTTAAATTACTCGCATGGATTTACCATTCATCTTTTTATCATGTGATGCCAGTTTTAAATGGAAACGTAAAGTTAATTCATACGTGGAATCATCAAAATTACACCATTTGTATTTTGTAACTTGTACACACATTTGTATTTTGTTCTCATCAGAACAGAGGAAACACCGAACAAAGCAACTCAATTATTCTTATTATTTTACTTCTTAAAAAGCACATATTCTATCAATAATCTCTACCTTCTGCTTCATGATGAATAAGGAAGAACTGAAAGGAAATGGAACTTTTCCTTTCCTTGTGTGGCATAACTTTGGGCATAAGTGGTTGGCTAAGAGAGAGAAGTAACAGAAAGGATATGCTAGGGTTTCTTAGTCATTCATGATTCTTAGAACATTTCTTTCTTTCTGTATTCACAGCAAATTCAGGTTCTAAGGCTGCCAGCACCCTCAACCTTCCTAAGTCACAGACATAACATTACCCTGTACTTGCTTTGAGATTTGCAGAATTCCCACCAGGATTTTGTACTTGTGGGCATCTCCATCATTATACATACACAAATAGGGCAGCGAGAGACGGGACAGGCACATTCATACTGTGTTGCGGGATCTCCTCCTTGCTTGTGCTGGCTATCTGTACCACCTGACTTTACTTACAAAACACAAGTTCAAGTTTAAATTACCAAGAATTTCAAGGGGCGCGTGGATGGCTCAGTCAGTTAAGCGGCTGACTCTTGGTTTCGGCCCAGGTCATGATCTCAGGGTCATGACACTGAGCCCCTCATGGGGCTCTGCACTCAGCACGGAGTCTGCTTAAGATTCTCTCTCCCTCCCCTTCTGCTTCTCCCCTCACTCACTCTCTCTCTCAAATAAATAAATAAAATCTTAAAAAAAAAGAAAATTGTTCTTAATACATTTGACATTTAATAACCTATTATTTCTCTATAGGCTCAAATATTATTCCCGTGCCTGTAAGTATCAAATCAAGAAAGCAACAAACTCAGTCAATTGCTATACTCTCTACCCCAACGTTTTGTCCCTGAGACTCTCTGAGAAGAGGAGGTCACTATGGGGCCCCTGGCTCCTAAAGGCATGTACGTAATAGCTCTGGACAGTAGACCAGACTCATAAGCTCAACCAGCTGTATTTCTCTGAGCTCTGACCAAGCCTAAAGTTTCTGACCACAAGCCTCTCCTTCTCCCTGTTCCACTCCTTCTCCCATGCTGGAGAGGGCAAGAATAATTGATTATGCTGAAATAGAAAGCAAGTCCCTCTCAAAGAGCTGTCTGCTTCTCATTTTTCTTCTAGTTGATACAGTTTGGGACAGAAAGACCTAGAGGCTGGCTTACAGAAATGTGAGTTTAATGGACTCACCTGTGGAAGAATAAAGAAAGATAGAGTTGGAGGACTGATGTGGTCTACCTCTTTCATGTCAAAGTGAGTCTTCAAGCTCAAGCTCATTAGGGGAGGTGGGAGACATCAAGGGCCAGCCTTCCAAAAGTGCAGCTTTCTCTAAGGTCATGGGGAATGTCAATCTTCCCAAGTCACTCCTGAGGAACACTGGAATGACTGATGGGATCTGAAGAAAAAAGTAGCGTCCCCCGCAGTCCTCACCTTTAGTAGGCCTTTTGACCACTAGATGACTTGGAAATTAGAAGTCGCTTAAGATACCAGTAAGGGAAACACAAATAGAAACTCTTGCTGTTTCTAATTTGAATTTTCCCCCAAGTACATATTTTAAAGAATTTTAATATAACACGTGGTTGCCATAAAATTTTCAGACAAAGACATGTTTAAAGGAAAGTCCCTTTGTATCAGTCATTTATTGCTGTTGAAAATGAAGCCCAAATTGGGTGGCTTAGAATAATAACACTCATTCATTTTGCCCACTCACCTACAATTTGCTCAGGACTTTGTAGGGCTGACTCATCTCTGTCCTGCACAGCATCTGCCTGAGCAGCTTGGCAGGGGGGCTGGAGGATCCAAGTTCAAGTCTGACTAACCCGGATGGCAAGTTGTTTGAAATATTCGGCAAATTTAAAGCTACAATTTTCCCGAGGATACATATTATCCAGGTGGTTTTAAAGGAAAATGAGGATTGTAAATAAAAGGAACAAAGTAGCCGACTCACACTTCCTAAAATACAGTTTTTGAAAAGTTAAAAATGTGACTTTCACACAAATATAAAATGAACGTATCAAAGACATACTCCAACCATTAATGAATTACGTTAAGTGAGATTTGTTAGACCGGTGAAGTGGATGAAAAGCAGGGTTATACAGAGTATATCAGGAATGATCACATGAATTTGCTAATAGCTGTGTATAATCAGTATACTATCCAATAAGGCAATAAAACGCAATGTTTGGAGTGATCATTTCTACTACTGGAAATCAATTGTGTCTTGATCGAATACTACGCATTTCTGGGGAAATTATCTCTGTTCCAAAAGAGCATTCCATTCCCCCATTGAGAGATTAGGACAGGGCTGTGTGGCCCAGTGGAGTCCACATGATAGTGAGATTTCGCAGAGACTTTGGCGAGAGCCTCCACATTCTCCGGGGCCCTTGAATCTGGAAGGCTTTGGGTCGGAACTTGCTGGCAGACATCCTGGCACCACACAGAGCCTGAAAAGGAAGAACGTGGAACAATGAAGACAAACATTGTGGGGGGAGCAGCATGCCGATGCCCCCGCTGCCCGATTGCAGCCCTAATCCCGGACTTCTCCATTATAGGCAATAGATTTCCCTTTTTTTTTGGTTTGTTTAAGCGAGGTAAATGGATTCCTCACAATACAAGAAGGTTCTCGAGCCTTCGCTGCTTCTTCTGGGCTAGCCACCGAAACAGTCACTGCTCTGTGCTTCGATATTCCCTTCTATCAAAGTAGTAAACAATACCTACAAAGAGTCATAAAGATTAAATACATAATAAATATAAATATAAAATATTTTTACAATGCCAAGGTAAAGGAAACCTCATATACCTTAACTTTTCTAAATTAAATTCTTTCTAGCCCTCCATTTACTAGGATGAAAAGATTCCCCTCATACTAGTCGCTACTGAGGGCTCTTTTACTCTTTAGGGCTAAAAAAATGTCAAAAATTACCTAGGAAAGATTGTTTGGTCTTTGGTCTATCGTGGTTGCTACTGGGATGGTCACTGCCCAAGACCATGTGGTCCACTAAAGGCAGGTAGCTCCACAGCCTCTTGGCCATCTGGGGGATCTGGTGACTTGTGCCCAGCTCCTGAAACGAAGCAGTTTGATACTCAGTGTCCCCAGCAAACGCATCAGCTCACCCCATCAGAAGTCTTGCTTCTGCTCGGGGATCCGCATACAAGACATTAATGCATGTGGATTCTTCTGCCCATTTTTCCTCAAGTCCCTGGAGCCACTGAAGTCTCAGGCAACTCCCTCTCTTTCAACCCAGTGACTCCATCTGCACACTCTTTGTTCTGTCTAAGGAACACCCAGTTATATTCACCTCCCACATAGAAGCCTAGATAGATCGTACCATGGATGCCGGGTAGCTTCTGACTTGGGCTGGGAAACACACACACACACACACACACAAACGAATTAATAACTGGTGGTAGGCAGCCTCCAAGAGGACTCCCCATCATCTGCCTCCTGGTATTCACACTTTGTGTCATTCTCTCCCCTGGACTGGGGGCTTGGACCTTGTGACTCAGCCCTAAGAAGCAGAATACAGCACAAGGGAGAGAATGACACCTCCAAAATTAGCCTCTCAAACAACAGTAACATCTCTCTTGTTTGCTTTCTCTCCCTTTCTCCCACACTGCTCTGAGGGTAGCCAGATGCCGTTCTGTGAGCAACCCCACAGAGAAACCCATGTGGCAAGGAACTGATAGCCAGAACCCCAGCCAGAAAGGACCCGAGGCTTGCCAAACGCCACATGAACGAGTTTGGAAGCAGAGAGATCGATCCTCCCCAAGATCTGCCTTGAGATGACTCTAACCCTGGCCAGAACCTTGGGTTCAGCCTTGTGAGGGACCCTGAGCCAACTAGGCAGCTGATTCCTGACCTACTGGAACTGTGAGAGAATAAATGTTACTTGTTTTAAGATGCTAAGATTGGGAATAATTCAGTATACAGCCACAACTAATAAACTGCCCTGAAGATCAGTAGCTCCGAATTTTCTGGAAAAGAGGGTAAAATTACCTTTTCCTCCTTTTGGAAGTCTTTTCTGGCAGGGAGTAGGAAACGGCAATAAATTGCTTAGTAAATTACTGTGTGACAAGCACAATTACCTGCAGCCATGTCAGTAGGTATAACAAGAATCTAGAGAGGGAAATCACCACCATCTGTCATTGACAGTCCAAACTCCCTTCCACAGCCCAGAACAGCCACACTCCCTACACTGCATGATAATCAGCGCCCTCCTTCCAGGGGAAGGAAGGAACAGAGTCTGATGCTCACAGGAACCATGGCGAGGCAGCTGCCCCGAGGCCCTAAAATGCCCCTTGGCCTTCCTAAAGAAACCCAAACCTGGGGCGCCTGGGTGGCCCAGTCGTTAAGCGTCTGCCTTCGGCTCAGGTCATGATCCCAGGGTCCTCGGATCGAGTCCCACATCGGGCTCCCTGTTCGGCGGGAAGCCTGCTTCTCCCTCTCCCACTCCCCCTGCTTGTGTTCCTGCTCTCGCTATCTCTCT